TTCAGGTTAGATATCAGGAGGCGCTACTTCACTGTCAGGGCGGCTAGGATCTGGAGCCAACTTCCAAGGGAAGTGGTGCTGGCTCCTACCCTGGGGGTTTTCAAAAGGAGGCTAGACAACCACCTAGCCAGGGTCATTTGACCCCAGCATCCTTTCCTGCCCATGGCAGGGGGTTGGACTTGATGATCTGCTCAGGTCCCTTCCAACCCTACTAACTATGAAACTTTCAAGTGAAACCGGGCACAGTCTCTCTTTGTAATATTGGGCCCAGACCAAATTGCCAATGCAATGGCAGCTCTCTCCCAGAAGCAAAACAACTGCCTATTGTACACACAGTTTGCCATGGCAGGTTGGATGGATGCCCTCCCCACTTGTGGAGAAACAAAATTTTGGGGGGGGGGCAGAACTAAAAGTAGACTATGCTTGTTAAACAGACTGACTAGCAGAAATGAGTTAGGCAGGGGAGGCATCTGAGTAACTTACTATCTGTTTTCACCTCTGAGAGTATATGCCCGATCCAAACTGGATATAGACACCTAAAGACTGGTACATATAAACTATAGAAGATCTTTGAAAAGCAAGGCCCAGGGTTCCACCTTGCACACAAGTACCTTCATAATTTTGCCCCCTTTTGTGTATTCTGGCCCAGCAATGCTTGAATTCTTTGTTGCACAGCTTGGTGGTTGGGGCACTGGGAAGTGGGAGATGTGGGTTTAAGCCTCCTCAAGCAAAGGGTGGGGGGTAATCCTAGTCTCCCACCTGCTGTGTGGGTGTTTGGACAATGAAGCTGTTGTATGAAAGAGGGTGGCATTCCTGGGCTGTGGATCCTTAATAGCAGGAGGTGAGGTTTTGCACTGGAGGGAAGCCTTGAAACATCTGGGCTAGGGACAGACATTCAAGAAGCCTGAGCCTGAATTCATTCAATCTTTGCAGGTTAGTCTAACCTGCAAAGATTGAACCAGTTTGCAAATGGATAGAAATTCACTTTTGATCCGGGAAATGCAGGCACACGCCTGCAGTGGCTCAGGCTAGATGCTGGGGGGTGCTAGAGTGAGCCCTGCCTTCACTTCTATAGTGCTGAGCTGATGTGGGGGACTTGGCCAGGCTCCAGCAGGATACTATGATTAGGGAGAGGCCCCCACCCTGGCCTGCACAGTCCCCAGCCAGTGTGATCAAAGATGTATTTAGCCTGGTGACCTAGCAAACTCTTTTAACACTTGTATGCTGCTCTATATGGATTGCAAGTCTAATTCAATAAAGGGACCTAAAAGTTAGGAGTCCAAGGGAACTTTTACACATGCTCCAGGGGTGGGAAGGGAAGGGGGTGGTGCTGTAATTAGAATGGCTCTGAGAGCCAGTCTAATTAAAGCGCTGTAGTGTCTTATGTATCAGTGTCCCCGTGCTTCAAAATGGTGGTGGGGGCGCTTGAACTAAAGCCTGTTCATTTGCTGGGCATATACCTAGTAGATCACCTTGTGGCCCAACCATTGGCAGGGCCCAACAGACTACAGTGCTATAGACTAGAACGTTAGGGACAGAAGTTACACATAAACGGGTTTAAGTGACCTCCCCTCCACCCCTGGCAGACCCAGGCTGGGGTCCTCACCCTCCAGTAGGCTGGTGCCTGGCCACATCCCCTCCTCTGGAGCAGGGATGGGGTGGGGGGAAGTGAGTTGGGGAGTCTTGGGGGCTTTCTCTCTTCCCTTCCCCTTGGCAGTGGCTGGCACCCTGCTGTAGCACCCCCAGCTTCTGACTTGAGCAGGCATGTGGCTGCATTTCACAAGTCAAAAGTGAGCGTCTGTTCATTGCTTATTCGTTCAATTCGCACAGACTGAATCACTTTAGCCTCTGGCTTTTTGACTGTCTGTACTTAGCCAAAGAGTTCTGCTGTGAAGATCCATTGCCAGCCCTCCTCATTGCATCACCATGTGGAGGCTCAGTAACTCGACAAGCATTGCTGGGGCTTTGGGAACTTAAAGCCTCAATGGATTTCAAAGCCAAAGGAAAACAGTGGGAGATTCTAAGTGTGCCCTCTGCTCTGAATCAGTGAGCACAGCTGTGAGCTACACAGTGGCATTCCAAGGAAGGACAAAATAGTACAGCACCATCTGCTCCCTTTCTCTGCCAGCACGCTTTTAAGATCGACTTCCTCCTGCCTGGCTCCATGTACTGTGCAGGTGGGACCTCAGTGCAGCTCACCTGGCAGAAAAGGAGTGACAGAGAGGCATGACCCTGAGTGGTGCAAGACACCTTCCAAACAAGTCAAGGAAAGCAAGCAGCCAGTTTTCTGGCATAAGTCCACTGAGAAATCTAGCACCAGGCACATCTATTTGTAGGAGATATTCTGAGCATCTTCTAGATTCTCCTGCAGCCAAGCTAGATCTTGCTGCCTTCAACACATAACATGAGCTGTTTGCTCTTGCAGGGATAAGCAGGACTAATGTGTAAAAGCTCCTTCAGTCTGTTGATTTATTGTGATCCCTGGGTCGAGCCCATATCTACTGGCTGAGCTGGTTTGTAGACTTAGAACTTGTTGGGAGCTAGAGTAAAAATGTGAGGATTTTGCTTTTAGATTCACTACCATCTGGTAGCTCCCCACTCCCTCCTTGCAACCAGATCAGCTTGAATCTATTATCTGCAGCACAGGAGCATGCGAGTTGAGAGGCTTTCTGTGATGAAAGGAATTTGGGTCAGGGACAGAAGTCCTGCAAGTGAAAAACCTTGTCTCAAGAAGAAGCTGAGGTTTCTCCTGTAAGTTAAAGGCAAACACCCAGTGGTCAGGGCAGTTGCCCAGGAAGTAGGAGACCCAGGTAATAGAGAGAACTGGACTCCCGAGCCTGAGAGTGGCCCTGTATGTCATATTATAACCAATGGAGGAATGTGGGGCTAGGGCAGGACAACTTAGAAAAGAAATCCACAGTTCTTCTCATATGCAGAGCACCTGGGTTGTGGGCAACGTTCCTTGTCCCTCCTGCCTCCTCAAAACTCTTCGCCAGTCAGCAAGAAAGAGACAGACTGAACAGTGCTGGACTTACAGCCCTGATGATTTTTAGATAGAAAAAAACAGGTTCAATGGCAGTACAAGCCCCAGCTGCTGCAGTACTACTAGTGTAAGCTGTAGGGGTTGGAACCAGCCCTGAGTCCTGAGTGCTTATGCCACAAGAGGAATGGAGACTCTAGCTTTCCCCAGGGCAGCTGTTGCACAGATACCAACAGGTGTGCCTAGCACCTCAACACTACTTGCCTCATTTACCTGTATGGTCCCCATCACTACAATGTGTGCGCACCTTGTTCTTTAATCCTCACAAAACTGCCATGGAGTAGGGAAATGCCATTGTCCTCATTGTACCATCACAGAGGAGATAAGGGACTTGGCCAAGGTCCCACAGGAAGTCTGTGTTGTGGAGGCAGGACTAGAATGCCAACCTCCCCAGACCCTAGACCTATCCTATAACCCCTCAGCCCTCCTTCTCCCAAGACTGGAAGCATAACCAGTAGGAGCTCAAAAAGCATAATCAGTCGGAGCTCAGTCTTCTTGGAGTTAAAGTTGATACTAAGGCCTAACAGAGCTAAAACAGATTTTATGTATCCTTGTTTTAGCCCAGTTTGGCAGAAAGGACAAAGACTGACTAGAGGAAGAAGATCCAAACCATTCCACTGCTGCAGTTACTTATTTCTGGGCAGAGTTGCAGTGCAGTAAGGAGAAGATGGCACCCTAGCAGCCAGTTTGGGCCACAGCCAGTTTTGGGCCAGCCACTTTGTGCCATGACATGGCTAGACTGCACCAAACCAGGGCAGCTGGCATGACCACTATTGTTTCTATAGCTGCTATCAGAGCTAAATGGGATAAAGATGCCTCACAATCATCTCTTCAATACATTTGTGATAGGCACCCAAACAGCAAGTGCTTCTGTTCACTGATGTGAAACCATACTCCTTATCCCAGCAGCTCCACAAATCTTCCCAGAAAACATTACCAGTGGTCTGTCTTTGAGCTTGTTTGCTCAGCCACATAGTACTTAATCTTGAATTTCAGTGACTGCAGTGCACACAAGCGGTGCTGCATTTAGAGGTCCAATTCAGCTGTCATTGCAATCTGTGGGATTTTGGCCTTTGCCTTCAAAGGAGGCAAAATCAGGACTTGGGTGCTACATGACATTTCAGCTCCTCTCCCATTAGCCTGTCTAGGTGTGATAAACTGATGATACTCCTACCATATGCTGACAAGCTTCCTGATGTCGTGGAGCACTACCTCCCCAAACACTCAGAAGTCACATGATGTCTAGTGGCATATGTGGCAACTTTCATACGATTTACACAGCCCCAGGTCCAGCAATTCATGTCTTTGAACAAATGTTAAAGGACTGATGGTGAGCAGTCTCAACTCGCTCTGAAGACAAAATGACAGCACTCCTGAGGCTGCCACAACTGCTATCCATCTATCTCCTTTCAAGCTGCCCTGGAGCTGGGAAGTGCTATTCAGACAACAAAGAGAGGGAACGCCCCAGAGCAACAGCAAGGTGTATTCAGTCTGGGAGCAGGGCCTGTAGTTTCTGATACAGAATGGGTAAGCCCTACCTGGAGCAGTTAGGCTGGGCAGCCTGGCTTGAACAGAGATGGAGTTGGCAATGTCCCACATCAGTACCAGTAAATTTTGAAGTCAGATGTTTGGCAGTCTGAATCTTGTGGCTCTGTGGGATCAGGCTGGAGATGCTCAAAGGAGAAGCTCCCTCAGGAGATTTCTACCTCCGGAGACCAAGCCAAAAGTACCAAGGGAACTACCTAATTTGTAGTATGTTCAGCATTTCTGCTTCCCACCCTGGCAAAAAATCAGCAAGTGCAGGGTAGGAAGCCAACCAGACTCTGAAGAGCCATGCGGGCTCAGGGAGAGGTTGGGTCAGAGGGGCAGTGGCAGGAACGGGAAGGGTTGGATTGTATCTGAAGTGGCTCACTCATGCTTAGGTATGTGGAGAAATGTACCCCTCCCTTTGTTCTCTCACCTGGAAGGTCAATAATGAGCCACCCATCCTCTTCCTCCTCCTCAGAGACAAAGAGTTTTTGTTCCTCAAGGCCCTCAGGGGTGTTGCTGTCACTGAAGAAGAGGCTGGTGAGGCGTTGGAACATGGCTGGGGAATGATTTCCAAAGCGAGTTTTGATGGGAAGAAAGATGAAAGCTGGTGCTGTGTCTTGGCCTCAGAACACAAAGATGGAAGCTGCAGGCGGGTGTTGGCTAAGACGGTAAAGCTCAGGAGTCTTGTCTTGGTGGACAAATCCTTCCGATGGGCAGGAATCACTTCCTTCCTAGTGAAATCTTAGCTGAGTTGAGATACGTATAGTGCAAGCATGAGGTTCTTCACTTGGCTTCAGTGCAAAGGCCTGCAAAGAAAGGAGAAATTCATTCATGCCCTCTGAAAAGTCCAGGCTTCCCACATCACGAGGGATTCAGACAGGCTGCAGGGAGGGGAGGAAGGAAACCGTGACATTGCTCAGCTACAATTAACTGCAGTCATTTTCCTTTCAGGTGTACTGCATGCTGTGCTCTAGGACAGTGTCTAGAGTCAGGCTGCCACACTTCTTACTTTCTCTTATTTTACTGAACCCACAGCGCCATACCAACCAGCCTTGTTCTTTCCTTCTCCATTTCACCCTGAACAATGACTGTTCCCTCATCTGTTCCCAAACAGTTGCTCATGTTTATCCAGTTTCCTCAGTGCATATTTATGACACTATAGAAAGAATAAGAAATGGGTTAATTGGGCGTTAGAGCCATGAGTTTTAGTCCTGGCTCTGCCACTGGCTTCCTGGTTGACCTTGGCCAAGTCACTTCTCTCTCTAAGACAAGGAGCCTGGCACCTGCTCACCTGCATCAGGTACTTTTTAGATGAAAAACACAATATTGTTCCATGTACAAGCATTATTACTAATAGCTAGCTGAGGGAAGGGTCTGGATTGCCTGAGCGCCCCAAGGTCCTGTGCTGGGATGGAGCAGGTGACGTATTTATTTCTATAGAGCCAGGCTGGACACCCCCTAAAAACAGATTTTCCTGGATTCTGTGTTGTCACGGGTGTCTTTATCTGTTTGGAGGTAGGAAGCAGAGCCCCTGTAACTTTTTTTTTCAGAAAAACACAGTCAAACAAAATGAGCTGTTTCTAGCTCCCATGATGGTGCTGAGTGAGTCACACTCACCAGTTACACAAATGCTCCAGACTTTTCCACTATTTGAGTCTTGGGTGACAGCAGGAGACGATGGGGGGGAGGGCCTGATAAATTTTAACTTTACCATAGGAAGTTAGCCCTGGCCCAGATTCTGAGTTTGATTACCCTGGTGTAAAAAGAGGAACCCATGCGTTGCAATAGTTACTCCAGTTTTATGTTGGGATCAGAATCTGGCTCAGCACTTTTAGCGCAAAGCTCTGATGAAAAGCTGGAAAGGGATTTGGACGGGCATAATGGTGCAGTTGTATTGAAAAGCTGATTAGAATGTACACAGCAGGGTGCTAGGGGTCACCCTGATCTCTGTAAAACATGAGGGTTTGGTCAACAACAATCACTCCTTATCAAGATGAAGCAGACAGGATACTAAATATGTACACCCAGAGCAGGCATCTGCTGAGGGACAGCTCACTGCCAGCAAGATTCAGCCATCCAGATTCTTAGACTGGTGAATGCACCTGCCTGGGTCCTCTTTTCCAGACAAAGACACAGCTCCATGTAAGAGAATAATAAATGGAAGTTACAAATAAATAGATAAATAAATAATAAATAATATTTAGTGTGGATTTAGCTCTTCCCACCTGTTGACCTCAAAGAACTGCAAAATTAGGTAGGTGTTTCACAGACAAGTGACAGAACTGGGAACAGAGTGCTTATTTCCCTTTTTTCAGACTACTGCCCAAGAACTAGGCATGAGGGGAGCATGTTACGCAGGAAGAAGAGGAGCAAGAAATGGTTTATATTTTGCTATTGGAAATACAAGGAGTAATAAAAAGATGGGGAGAAAAACAATTCACTGCTCCATGTCCTCAAAACTCTTTTCCTGCTTGAGTGTAGCAGAGAGAAACCGAAGAAAATATAGTCAGTTGACTAATCCCTCTTTCGCTTCCAAATTTTGGAGCTCAGATCAACTGAACACAGATTTCAGCCACCTCAGATCTGGAAAGCAAATGAATCTACCAAACGTATATGAAATTTACCCAATTTCCTCGCCATTGCATTCTTAACATAAGCAAGAAAAAACATGTCTTGTCATGCAAAGGGCAAGTGCAGGCCTAACAGAGAATTGCATAGTTGCATCCCATAAGAGCTTGTTCACTAGATCAGAGGCATTAACTGTACTGGGGCTCTTGGGCTGCAATATGATGGTAGTGTCCAAGAGATGCACTCTTACAAAAATAGCAGATGGCTTTGTGACCCGTGCCTTTTGCTTGATAAGGTTACTGACTCCAAGACATGCAAAGCAACACTATGAGTTTTTCATAATAAAGAACTTCACCCACTTTAGGGGAGGTTTGAGGCTGGTAAGGTGTCACTCAAAGATATAATATAATTTATTATAAACCTCTGTTAATTTTTGGATAAGATTTTCCAGTCCGGTCCAGAAACTTTCATCCCAAATAGCAATTTCTGAGAATGAGGCTAGGGGACAATATGGCTTTGGTTCAGGTTCAGAGAACCTTGCAGCCTTTTCTGTGAATAGTTTAACCACCCCCATGCTTTGGAGCAAGGAGATGAAACTTGACAGCCAGGTGGCCTTTGTAGCTTCTCTCTGCCCTGAGTTCCCCCTGTGGAAGTCTAAGCAACAAGGAGCAAGAGAGCTCAATCAAATGCAAAGGGAACAGGAGTTGAGATTGGAAGGGGGATGTATAGGTTCTTAGGGTGTTGATTGGGACTTGAGTCTTTTGGTGTGGAGGGTAAAAAGGGAAAACTGGGAATTAGGATCAGAGGAAATGAACTGGGAGCTGAAGGGACTGGGCTCAGCTGTGCAAGAAAACTTGGACGGAGAATGGTGTTAGGAAAAAAGGAGAACAGGGACAGGAGACAAATGTGATGAGGAGGGAAGAACTAGGACTAGTTGGACAAAGAGACAGGACCAGAATCTTGTGGGGGATAGATTCACTGTTAGCGTGGAAAAGCAGCATGCGATCATTACCGCATGCAGGTTCTCAGGCTGTCTTAATTCTAAGTTGCGAGCACTTGACTGCGGAACCCTAATAATGTTGTTTTAATGCAGGTTAAAGGGGAGTAGAATACAAATGTCTCTCCATTCCAAAGTTAAACAGACAGAATTGCTCTCCAGTTCTGAACACTTTGGATTGTTTCTTTCTGAACTAAGGAAGAAGCATGTCTGTCGCTTACCATCCAGGTCACTTATTCTACAGAGCCAGGAACTCAAACCCTCAGGCAAGTCACTGTCATTCTCTGCTTCATTACCACCCCCATTTTAATGATAGGGAACCTAATTCCCTGCAGCTCAGAAGGGGGTAGGAGCCTAATTTAATTCGTATCAGTAAAGCTCTTGGAGGTCTGCAGATGGGAGGCACAAAGTGAAAAATTCATTTAGATGATGGACTAAAAGGAACATCAGGGGATAGACTTGTGGAAGCTAAAGTTGCAACCATGAGATAGTGTTATACATGCAATTCTCTGCTTTGCACAGTTGTACATGTATTAAACTTACAAGGTAAGACCCCTGTTTAAAAGAGTAGTTGTTTTTGACTGAAGTAGCCTTTTGGGAGTTTGGGCCTAGCATCAGCCGTGGCTCATCTGGGGGGCGTGGAGAGTGGGAGGGCAGCTATCGGTATTGGCCCCAAAACTGGGGACATAGGGGAGTTATGGTAAATTCTGGTGTGGCTGCAGCCCCCCCATCCCATTGCTGCCAGCACCCACCCCAAGCCCAGCCCCACCCCACCAGGGAGAGCTTGGTGCAGTCCTGGCTCCACACAGATCTGGAGGCACACTCTCCCCCCCACCATGCCCTCCTGGACTAGTGGTGGGAGCAGCGGCAGAAGCTGCCAGATGAGCAGGCGAGCGCCAGATGAGCCGCAGCTCCATCCCACGCCCACCCCATCCCAGCTGGGCAATGCTTGCCCCTGCCCCAACCCCAGCTCCACTCCTCCCTCACTGCAGAGGCCTTGATCTGCCCCCCTTGCACCCTTTCCCTTCCCCCTTCCATCACACCAGACTTACCAACTGCACACAGCTCTTCAAGCTGCCCGGCTGTGCTCCTCACCACCTACATGCTGCACTGCAGCTGCACACATGCATGGGCCATTTACCGGCCATATCAAGCCGAGTTCCAATAGAGACAATTTTCTTTATGTCGCTGCTGATCTGATATTGGACCGATGTATCAGTGCACCTCTAGTATTAAGATACTTTCATTGCAGTTTCTTGCATAGGGCAAAGTGAAATTGAAATTGAAAATATCTGACGTGCTCATAGGTCATCAAAATTAAGCCTCTCAGGGGCCCCAAATGACTCTCTTGCCCAGGACCCCAACAACCATAAGGCACCACTGAATACTGTACAGTAGTGTATTAGCAGTGTCCATGCTGTGATGAGCTACTACGTAGTGTTATTAGGATTCTGTGCAGTTGTCATCTCATGTAGATGTGCCCACATTGTCACATTGAGAGACAGCCTTTGTGGCTCACATTTAATGGAAAGAGGAACAGGAAATACTAGAGGTTCAATGCAATTGTGTGAATAATTTGCATCTCCAGGATGTTGTGATGCTGGGGTGCTCTTTCCTTAGTGCTGCCATGAGGATGGACATTTTCACATTTAACTGTCACATAAAAATCCTTGAGGAAGCTTTTTAGTAACTGCTGTGAACTCCCTGCATGTCTGGTCTCAGGGACCTGTTTCATGAAGGCTCATTAAACACTCATCTGTTTAAGTGACTCTTTGCATTCATTATAAAATGCCAGAGAACATTATGCAGAAACTAGCATTGAAGCTAATCTATGTGGGGCGCACACACATCTTGTGATAAGAGTTGCTGGGCAGACAACTTGGAGAAGAGAGAAGGTGAAATTTAGTTTTAAACTAGGGAAAAAAGTGAGAGAGGGATAATACAGTGTTCAGGTAGGAGGCTCTGCATCCAGCCAGTAACATGGTAGCCAGATTTCCTATGAACAGAAGACCATCTGCTTATCTACAGAGCTGCTGACACCCCTGACCATTGCAAGCTTTATTCTACATGCTAGGGTTCACCCAGCTCTTGACTATCTAAAAGCATATTCAGTCAAGCTGTCCTTGCTAGACTTCCTACAGCAGTCTCCATCGAGTTTAAAAACCATTAGAGTTATCGCCATAACACACAATCACTCCACAATCTAGGTGAGAATTCCTACAAGACTCCTTAGGAGGAACT